GAAAGATTCGAAAATCAAGTTAATTGCTTCCTTTAACATAATGATCAAATTCAAGAAGAACTTCAACAATAATCTAATGATAGATAGCTAGAATGTGAAACCATATTCATACCAGCAAATTAAAAGATTAACACAGATGTTGATACATCATAATATCAGCCATAATCCAAGGAAATAAGTTAATCAACTCATAACTTCATTTAAAATAACAGCTTTTAAGTTCACTAATAAAATAATATGTCTACCATTAGTAACCCTATTAATAATTCATAACATTATTCATCTTAAAATTAGAATATCAATTCTATAATAAATCATTCTAGATTAACAATAAGTCAACTGACTTAAAGGGAAAGATCTATATCTAATGAAAAATAAAATGAAGAATTATTAGCAAAGGTTGATGAAATCAAAGATGAAATTAAAGGATTGTAATAAAAAGTAAAAAAAGTAATCATTTATTTTATTCTCAAAGCCTGCACAAACTAATCTATAACTAAAATTACCACATAGAACAGCTATGTTAATGTAAATATCATCAAAAAAGTAATTACAATCTTATTCTGTAGTTAAATTTAAGTATAAAAATAAGAAGAACCAAAATCATCCCAAAGAAACTGATTTATAAGATATTATTCTTATAATCCATATAAATATATATTTGATAAATTTGAAAAGAATGAATAGATTCTTATTATATTCACTTTAAAATCATTTTTTTTTTAGTTTTTGGTGTTCCATGATTTGAAGAACATATTTAACTAGGAGTTAAATGTCGTGATCTTAAACTTCTCATTGAACTTTTAAGATCTTCAAAGTTTTTCTAACTATTAGCTAAACTAGTTCTTCCTTTAACAAAAAAATTATTTTATTATTGTTTCTCAATTTTCTTTTTTGAGTTGCTATTATTGAAAGTCATTTTTGTAGAAAACATTTTTTTGGCCAACTCCAATAACAATTCATTCTGTTATGGAGTATTTCTTGCAGTTGTTAAACAAGATTTAGTCATTTCGATATTTCCTAATGAAGCTTACCTTGACTTTAATTAAGGTGGCTTCTTTATAGTTTTTATTGGAATTTCTATTTTAGATCTTTGCTTCTATGCTGATGTCTATCTGGATGTTTAAACCGGTTTTGGGATTCTTTAAGTTAGAGGTGGAGATTTTAATTATTGTACCTATCTTAATTACATCTCAATGGTTTTTTTGAGAGTTCCATGGTAATTTTAGTACATCTATTTTTGAGCATCGATAGTAGGTTTTAAAGATTTTTAAATTAGTTTATTCTAATTGAAAATCTAGAAAGGCTTTGGCTGAACTTTTGTATCGCCAATCATCTAAACCAAATCTCTGAGCACAGTCGTATTGCTTATTTTAGATATGTCAGTTTAAGTAGATTCAATTTTGAGATCTCTCAATAAATACTTAAGTTAACTAACTGAACAATCTTCAGAAGTGTCCTTTACTTTTGATTGAGATTATTATTTAACTTCCTCAAATAAACCCAACTCCATTTTTATTTTACAATACTGTATTTCCCTATTTTTTTCCATTCTCTTATTAATGACTTTACAATGAAAGTTTCTGGGAATATTTATGTGGTACTTATAGTATTCTAAAAGAGCTGGTATTCTATCATCGCTCTCAAAAAATCTATAAAATCTTTTTCATTATATTATTTTTTATATACCTCCTCATGAATTCTGTATGTTCATCTAATTAAACATAATCTTTGAATCGAATAGTAGATTTAACTTATTTGTCATCCAATATTTCATTAATGTCTTTTTCATAATAAAAGTTTTATGACTGAGAGTATTTGCAATAAAGTGCTTTTGTGAGAATTAAATGACAAGATCCATCATTATTCAACTTATCACAGAACATGCACTTATTAACTTACATTTTATTTATTTCCTCTATATATAAATAAATTATATAATAATAGTTTTTCAAAATAATGTAGTTATGATAAATGTCTATAGATAATAAATATTAAAAATTAATTTAGTGTTTAACTTAATCATATAAATATCATTAACAGTCAATTCCAAAAAGATCAATTAATTATTTCCTATAATATTTAGATAACACTTATTTAATGAGATATAGAACAGCTTTGATATAGTCTTAGTCATTTTTATAATGCATTATGATTGCTTACACAGTTATTAATATTTAATAAAATTTCTTCATTTTTAGATAACAATTTAATTTAATATTAAAAGAAATTAATTAATAATATTTATCTGAAAATAACTGATTTTTTATAGATAGATATTTTGAAGATTGTTATGTCGTAATTTATATAAATAAATAAAATCATTCTCCATATTTTAAATTCTCATTTAATTATTGTGTATTATAATAAGCAGCAGGTAATTAGCTTGTCTATATTTTTCATAGGATTATGATTGTATAATTATTTAAATAAATAGTAGTCATAACATTTTGATAATTTATCACTTGATTTTTTAAACCAGAAATTACAATAAGTCTTATTAAATCATATGGAATTGTATAAGAAAGGAATAATTATAAATTATTTCAATATTAATAATATTATGTGAGTTCACTAAAAATAAACTTATTAAAAAGAGATAAGAATATTTAAAAAATAATTATTCTGAATATTTAAATATAATTATGAAATTCCATAAAAATTGAACGTACAAAGGCATGTTAGAATTTAAGATTATAAAGATTAATGATGTTTAACATTTTAATAATTATATTATGTTAAATAAATCAATAAAAGTAACAAAAAAAGTGATTATCATAAATCAAAAGTATTATTTTGTAATATTAATAAGAACTGGGACTATAAGTGAGAATACAAGTATAATAAATAGAGAACCATTGAAAAATGGTATAGAAGTAGAGAGGAGTGATCAAAAGAATTCAAATTAGAGATTGATTACTAATGAATTAGGCGAATGTAAAGTATGTGTAATAAGGAAAGAGAAGTGTGATTTGAGACAGTTACAGGAGATGTTGAACATATATTTAAAAAACAATTAGAAGATTAAAGAGATTAAATCGATAGTAGATGCATTAAAAAATAGAACCAACAAATTGGAATAACAGTTAAAACAGTAGGAGATGAAGTATAAAGAGAAGAGAGTGAGAAGAACATCTACTTAAATAGAAAAGAAATATAAAGTTTAAATTAATCATTATATTTAAAGTGTTATGGTAAGAATTGTGATAAGAGTTATGGCTCCATGGTTTCATTGAATTTACATATGAGAATAAAACATAAAAGGTAGAGAAATGTTTAGGAATAATAAAAATGATAAACTTTCTTTACTTATATATATATTTATTTTAATAACTCAATAGGTTTGGCCATCAGGTGGTTATTACAATTTTTTATTAGCAGCAGAACTCATTTCGTTCTTTAATCCTGTCAAAATGCTTTCCAGAGTATTTTTGGATACCCAATTTTTTAAAATGGCAAATTTATTAAGATCAATCTGAGTAGTAGTCAATGATAAATACCTATCCATTTGCTTAGACACAAGGAAGATTAATTTTAGTAACAAATTTGACTTATGGAGCAACCTTTGGATATTGTGGACCACAAGTGATTTTAAGTGAATAGATTCTATTCTCAAATGCAGTCTACGATATAAAATAATATCATTACATTATATGGTCCAAGGATTGTTCCATTCCAATTTGTCATCTGCATATCCTCAGCTACAAGTTTCAGATGAATATTTTACCATCTTCCAATCCATAGCTTACAGTTCCATCTCCAATACCTTTTTCTCCGTTTTAGAGTTCTTCAAGCAATCTAAATCTTCTTGGGACTTCTAGAAAGAATATAAAAACGATATAAACTTACCTGGTGCTCCTTACATTAGGATTTGATTTAAATAATTATTATATGATATTAATAATATATTAAAATCGATATATAAGATGGGAATCGTCAGATATTTTGAATTCTTTGTTTGAATTAGTGTTCCTGAGTCATCGATCTCAGTTGATTTTTGAGTCCCTAAGGATTTTATACTTTATTCATATCAAGATATTGATGTGGATTGTTTAAAGCATCTAAAATAAATTTATCCCACATAGCAGATGGAATTTTTCTCTGAAGCATTTCTTTATGTAAGATACACAAAGGTATTTTTTGAGAAGGATGAGTATTGGGTAATTTGGTTTTTTGAGCCAAACATTTTGAATAAAAGATTCTCTATTATTAATTGTATTGGTTAGAATTGTTAGGATCAATTTCATTTTGATTTACTTCACTCTCATCAAACTACGATGTGGAGATCTTTGTAAGAATTTCACTTTTGATATCATTCAATTGGTTCCTATCCTGACTTCCTGAGAATTTTGTAATTATAGTAGGTCTGCCAAAAGGGGGACTCTGAAATTAAGAAGGAAGGGGTAACTGAGAAGTTCTACTATATTCAGGTTATTATTGGTATCGAAATGATGAAACACTACTGTAATTATTGTAAGGATTGTAATTACTGCTATTAGAATTGATAAGATTAATTTTTTGGGTCTGAGTTTAGATTTCGACTCTTGATGTGCGCACTTCTTTTTCTAATTATGTCTATTTCTATAGGGCAAGAGAATGGAGTCGTTCAAGATAGAGAGCAATAGCAAGAGAACCTCTGTAAGATTCAGTAATGGTTTTCAATTCTTGATTTAGATCCTGCAGTTTACGAAGTTCAATTTAATTGGTGTTTTGAATTGTGAGGATTTGTTCAGACATTTCATCCGCTCTGTTCAGATATTTTATGTTGTCCTATTTAGATTCCTTTTGATTTAATTGCTAAATGGATTCTCTCAATTTTGATATCTTAAAATTGATTTCATCCAATAATTTATTGGATTTAAGGACTGCAGTGACACTCTTTGAAACACTTAGACACTTCATAGTATGAACATCGATTTCATTAATAGGAATAAGATTTTCACAGTTCATACAGGGAACCGCATACATAGTTGATGGGGCTGTCTTTGGAGCTCTTAGTTATTGAGTGGAATGATGGTTTTTTGTAGACTTACTTGTAAAATAATCTGACTGCATTGTTTATGATATTAAAAATAATATAAACGAATTATTAGATGCAAAATTGCAAACATATTATCACAACTATTAGAATGAGTAAATTCTATATCCTCTTTTCAATACTTTAAGTTATCTTATCAATAATACTTTTGATCTATGTATGAAATATATACAACTAGATTATGACAGATCCGATCCGAAAGTACTTAATCATTTTAATTACAATAGTTTGCATCAATCAATTGTTGTACAAGCAGAAGTGATACTAACCTTGGCTATCCTCGTCGATATCTCCTTACGTATAATAGCAGAAAGGAAGGTATTACTTATTTCTCTATTTATTAAGCAATTTTTTAAAGACAAATGGAATCTCATAGATTTGGGTTCTTTTATTCTTATTTTAATATTACTTCTCTTTTTCTACATGATCACCAAGTACATTTTAATCATGATATTTAAGTGAGTTTGCTGCTATTATTGATGATGTAATTGGATTAGTTGTTATGGTTTTGCGATACATAGTCTAAATTGTCAGACTAGCTCTTTTAATTAAATAGTAAGAATAGTATTAACTAGATCACATAAGGTTAAACAACTCTAATAAATAGATGATATCAAGTTTGAATAAGTTGACAAGTAAAATGAAGATAGCATAGAAAAACAATAACCTGATACAAATTTATGATTATTATATAATATGTTTTGAATAAAAAGAATTTCACATTTTCAATGAGACTCCACCTACCTATCTATCAGGATTTAATACTACTTTTACTGTTGATAGAAATCTCATTCAATTATGAATCATTCTTATTCTTACTCATTACACATAATATTTTGATTCTTAAGAAATAGTAAGTACTCTATTGAGTCACAATTTCAACACTAAATTACTACTTTCAATAAGCATTTCAGATGAGAATTCATTTATTTATTTAAATATACAATATTCTCTTAAGGATTTTGTAGTAAACATAATAACCAAGGATTCTCAAGATTGATTTACTTAATATATTATATATATAATTCAGCAACAAGTATTGTTTTTTTATTTATCTTATTTAGTATTTTGGATTTTGCATTCCTATTTTGCCAATTTCGCTTTTTTGCTTAATTGAATTCCATAATTCTAATTATAAATTTTCAAAATCTACTTTGCAAGGATCAATCTCTCCAGAATTTACCTTTTGTAGTATTTTACAACTCAAATTTTCAAATACCTAATTCACATTTAATCCAGTCTTTGCAGAAGTCTCGAAATACTCAAAATTATACTATTTTGCAAACTGCATTCCCTCCTTTTAAGACACTTGACGCCTTACATACTTAATCAATATATACTATTCTTCAAGGTCTGTTTTATTTCCTACTATAATCAGTTCAATCTCATCGCAAGCGTAACTTTATATTTTCTCATACCATTAAACCAATCCTTAAAATGATTATCTGCTTGTAACATCAAAGACAAGAATGCCTCCAATTGCTCTTAAAATTTATTGCATCATACCCCCTATAGAATGACCGAGTTAGAGAACGAAATGATTCTTATCCAGCAGTGTCCCAAATATGTAGATTCACATTTTGATCCATAACTCTTATCTCCCGAGAGCCAAACCCTATACCAATTGTGGTATCATGAGTATTTTTGAATCTAAGATCTGTAAACTACAATAGCAAACAACTTTTTCCAACATCTAATCGATATGACCATAATTTAATACTAGTATCACCTACAATAATGATTTTAAAACAAAGCATTTTATAATTATTATTGATATCTTTGAAAAGGTCTTATGACATACTAAATAATCAATAATAATATGTTTGATAATCATTTCTACAATAAATTGTCCTGGGACATATTGATTTGATCTTAACTAGTTTATTCTATCATCATTGATTATTCCATTCCTTTAGTTTACAATTATTTTGTGTCTATTGGTTAGGATGGTTTTTGTTCTTAGGCTTTTGGCTTTGGTTCTTCTTCAACTTCTTCCTTCTCTTCGTAATAGTGGATCATTCTAATCAATTAAGAATCAGACACAGTCTCAAATTATTAGAGAATGATAGTTGGAGTCAAAGAAATACAAGACTAGAAATATGAACAATGAATACACTTTTTACACTATCTAAAATGGATTCTAAATGATGAGTATATTATGGGATGCTTGTACTCCAAGATTCAGATGAGCATGTAGTGAATAATATCAATATGCAAATTGTAATGTTGAACATAATTACAACTCTAAATTAGAAAGATTAATATACATTTATTCTTTGGAAAGAGTGCTTAAATAAAGAATTGGCTGCATTTGGGTAGTTAAAAGGACAGTCAAATAGGAAACTAAGGAAATATAATAAAATCCTTCTATGATACCATCTTAATTGTTAGCATATTATAGAATCTAAAAAATTATAATGGTTAAATTACATTTGCAGGTAAATAAAATATTATGAATCCTTAATAAACAGAGTCAAAGAATATTAGGAAAAGTTTCTTCCTATTGAAATAGTAATCCCTTTGACATTTGATGAATTCACTAGCAAACATTCGGATGACTCGATGATTTACATCTGAATAGAAAGAAAAGATCAAAAATCCATAGATTGGCGTGAAATAGGTTTAAAACATGAAGTGGAAACTGGTTGTGAATAGTTGTGTGCTTGAATATCCATTAAAAAATGAAAAGAAGAATTCGCACATAGTGATGAGGAAACCCTTATAAAGTATGAATAGCAAGAATCCAGCAGTTCTAACATGGGTTTGTCTAGCATGAGTTAAGATTAGTTTGGACAATCCATCTAAATTAACCAATTCTATATGACTCATAGCAGAAAATAATGAGGGATTTTTAGCGGTTTGGGATTGAACACTTGCTCTTACAGTATTGACTTTGCACAAACATAAATCTTCATCATGTAGACCAACTGATATAATGGCTTAGTTTTTAGACTAATCTTTTTAGAATGTGATAAGTTATTCAATTTGAATTTTAGTAAGATCATGGAAGACCACAAAAGGATGCAATCATAATGACTTCATAAAACTATGATCTCATTTCTCCATCTGATAATGCCTAATCTAAAACTTCTTAATTGATTATCAAAGTAATGAATTTATCATCAATCTTATACAAATTATCAAACACTTTGAATTCTCTTGTTGATTATTTGAATAATGGGACAGCTTGACTCTTAACACTATTCATTTCATTATGTAAATCATCCTTTGTGAATTCAACACATTCCATATATTATTTCAAATATTGTAGAGTTTGATCTCTTTCTACATCCCTAATGAAAAACCACTGTCTAATGATAGCCAGATTCAAATCTAATAACAAATGGAAATTATGATGAGCAACAGTCTAGAATTGGAATACTCCACATGGTTTAATTTATGTCATCAATTGCTCTTCTGCAAATGGAGGCAATTGAATGTATTTCCTCTTAAAAGCAGATGATCCTAATTATTTGTACAATCTCTAGTATTCTTATTCTTAGAATGTATATTCAAAAATGGCTTTTCCTTACATAAATTATGATAATTGAGGATGCTCCTTACATAAAGTACTTTCGATATCAGCCTACAAAACCCAAATATATCTTTTGCTATTCATTTTCTCAAACAATTCTCTATCCTTCTTAATTCTATCCTACAATTATTGTAAATCTGATGCTTCTTCATCATCTGATTCTAAATCCTTCTCCTCCAACAATGGCATCTCATATAAATATGCATCCCATTGTTCAGTATTAACAACCAATTTCACTGTATATGTTCTCAACACTTCCTTTGGTAGTAAGACACTTCTTTGATTATCATCATATGAGAATTGTACACACTCACCTAATTAACAATATTTTTAAATAGCCAATTAAGAAGAACTTAAAGTCTTATATGGTAGTGTTAATAATGCTCTTTCAAATACAAATGTACTGCGCTCCTTATCATCACATTGAGCATCATATTCTAAATCAATTTACTCAAAGGCAGTTGATTAATTTACTTAAATCTAATCATCCATAATCTCCTTATTAGGTTTAGGTTCATATCCTTGTAATTTAACATCATCATTATTCTTCTCGATATCTTTTTTCTCTCCTTATGGTCCTCCTAATAAAGTAGCCTTTCCCACTCTTAATCTTGGTTCATTTAATACTTAACCATAATTGATAAACTTTGTATTTGCTATATTATCCAAAGCTATATAGCTGTTCAATTTAGTTAATAATCCTGATCTCTAAGGATCCATTCCAATATCACCATTCACTTTCTTTCTGGCCAACCATAAAAATATTGGTCTAAAAACCTCAACGAAAATTGGAACTATGTTACTAAAGATTATCAATCTATCAATTAATAAGGATATAAAATTATAATTGCTCTATTCTCTTATGTATAAATGCTTGTCTTTATTATTGCTACTCCAAATCGATCCAGCTATTGAAAATGTTATTGAGAGTACTATAGCAATTCCGATACTGAAAAACTCTGAATTCAGAGGATTTAAATATAATGGTAAATTGAATGATAAAGCTTCTCTCAAATACTTTTGACGAGTAGATGAATGAAGTAATACACCTATCAATTAGTTTGATTCAACTATTCCATTTTCTTCTACTAAATGTTCCTGATTCAATTGCACATCTATTGGCTCCACCAAATCCAATCTCAATCTAGCCTTAGTATTTTCTGAAAATATAGGTAATTGGTTGAATTCCAATTGACCATCAATATATGTTAAATCAGGTTCTTATAATTTCGGAGCAGCTACCTTATATGTTTTTACATCATCTCCAAAATTAACTTAAGCATGTTCCTAACTTTCAGCACTCAGAATAATCATAGGTGCAGGTACTCTTTCCCCCTTCTTTAGTTACACTATGCACCCAGGAAATAGTCTAATAATAGTCCTACTACTAAATCTTTTTTATGCGAAATCAAAAACATTTACTAATTGTCTATCAAATTTGAATTCCAATTCTAGTTCCTATCTGTAGACCCTGTACCATAAAAATGTGGGCAATGTTGAAAGTATCAAGATGTATATAATAAAGAATTAAAATTGCTTGATAAATAATGATAGATAATTACATTAACTGACGTCATTGTATAATCCAGAATGGTAATAATTATAATAAATGGTAGAATTGGAGTCATGAAAGCACGTTTTAATGACATTTTAAGAGCATTCTAAAACAAACTACCATTTTAGGTCAGCAATGAAATTCCATAAAAGTCTGTTTTAGGATCAGTTGATTGAATGCCGATCTTCAATTGTTAACTGAAGATAGTGTCAACCAATTCATCTCTATTTTCTTAACTGGCTGGGAATTATTCTGTAGTTCCTTTTCCTATTGGATGCACTGAAAATTCTAAGCTGTTCTCAATATTTTTTCCATCGTATTTTTAAATGACATCCAAAATACTTTCATCTTTCTTAGGAGTGCTCCTCTAAGAACGATTTGATTTTGACTTAATGAAAACATCCCCTTCCTCTGGAGGTAATGGCTAATCTTCAGGATCTTCTAATTTCAAGACTCCAGGGTCATCATCCTCTTCTTGTTTATCATCAGGATTTAGAAAGAGTGATTTTGCCATCGGAGCCACATAAGTTGGATCCACTTTTAAGCCCTGTGCAGTTCCTGCTTCTTTACTAGTTTTGAAAAGCTTGGTAAAATTGATAACAGGACCGTCTTCACTCGCCTCTTAAGCTTGTTCATTGCTTATCTCTTGTTATCTCACTTGTTTATGTTTAAATCTGGTAGATATTTTTGGCTGAGCTTTGGGCGGGCGAATTGTCATCATCTTCCTCAAAGGCAATGATATCTAATTAAGAAAGTACATACTGTCATCTTCTTCTGTCATGTGATTATTTATTATTTATTATATTATAAACTTATTATTAAGACTAATTGTCTACATCTAAATAATCTAATAACATTATAGACCAATAAATTCATTCAGTACTATGAATTAAGTTCAACTTTCTAATTTCATTTGATCTTACTCATTATGTTGATTCTATTTATAAAAGGCAATATTAATTGAATGATTAATATCTTACAATATCATCCGATCAAATTAGTAATTTAGTTAATTAATATACAGAGACCATTTGTATTAGGGAAAAATCTATTAATTTACAAGGCAATTCAATATCCATAAAACGTATATTTAAATTTAGAATATTTCAAATTTATCTTAAAAATAATAGATTAAGAATCATTTTAATAACTATTTAATCTTTTGATATATATATATAAGTAGTCAATTAAATAATATCTTTTCAATATAATTTATGCATTCGTTCCTACTCAATTAGGTTTTGCTAGTGTGTAAGAGTTGTTCTACATTTTAAGTGTATTAGCCAACGAACTTTGCGTAATTGCACAATAGAAATGTAAATAGTTAAATCTTAGGATTTTCATATCCTAAAAGAATCTAATATAAATATTCTAAATTTTAGTTGAATTTATTACCTTTAATAAATGATAGACTTAAATGCTTAGCCAAATTACAAAACTATACTGAATATTCAAAATTATTATTAAAAATATCCATAAATTCCAGATCATTCATTATAAGAGTATAGTTTTCATTTAACAATAATTAGCATTCTTAAAAGTTATTGAAACCATCGAAATGTAATTCTAGAATTTGTTTTTCTATATTCTTAAACGTATCTCTCTGTTTAAAGATGTCGAAATTCTTCAACTCGAATTTATTTACATTTCCATCAATTAAACAACTTTTCAACTAGGTTGTAATAATCATTATATTCTTCAAGATGATGAATTGTAACTTATATACATTAGTTTATTGAATCGTGACTTACGAATAGTCTAATAATTAGTTTCTAATTTGTTTCAGTAATTACAAATATTCTATCTAATTTTGAATGATTTGTTTATTATTTGACTATTCATCATTATCACTTTTTTATCTAAAAAATCCATTTTAATTTTCAGTAAACATCTTGTTCCCACTATTTCTAGTACTTTATGGTTAATTTCCAATACTAATTGTTCGATCTTTCTTTTATGTTTCAGGAAGCATAACTGTTTTGCTATGATTAAACAATTATCGAATTTCTTATTTAGGCGATTCTACTTTTGATAATAATTCCTTTTAACTGGCTTTCTACTTATTGTATATTTATAGAGGATGTTTAGTTTATGGAGGAGAATTGACTGTAACTAATTTTGCATTCAACATTGAATCAGATTCATTTTTAATTTATGAAGTCGAATGCTGAGATTTTTAATCTTACTCTTTCATCAAGAATTTATTGTCAAACAAAGAGTGGGTAAACACTTATTCCCATCCTAACCGCTTTTATTCTTCATATTACAAACATCCCAATATGAATTATTATGACATTGGTGATATCTTTTTGCCTAGAATTTATAAACATTTTAATTTACTAAATTTGATATTGGTATTTCTCTATTTATTTATTAAATCAAGAATATCCGCAACATTCCATGGAGTTTTACCTTCTATCAATTCATAATAAATAAGGCCTATACTCCATACATCACATTTGGATGTGTATTATTTCCTTAACAACACTTACGGTGACATATATAAAGGAGTTCCTGCCAATGAATTCATAAGATCTCCCTCTAAGTGTTAAAATCGTTTCGCAAATCCAAAATCAGCTATCTTAAATATATTTTCAGAAGTAATCAAAATATTGGCAGGTTTCAAATCTCGATGAATGATCCCTCTTTTGAATGATTATAAAATCCCTTTTAAAATCTGTGTTAAAATTGGTAAAGCTTATTATTCTGTTAGACAACCATATCTTTTCATGTATTCTCTCAAATCACCGCATGTGCACAATTCGCTAACTATGTAACAATTATTTGGTGTTTAGACAACATCTAATAATTTAACAATATTTGGGCAATCCAAATCTTTCATTATATCAATTTCTTTCCTAAGGGATTGCTGATCACATTACAAAGGTACAACTTTAATAGCAACAACTTAACTTAAATTTAAATTTCAACATACTTTGTATCAATATTCATTCCGACATATACAATCCCATAAGACCCTCGTCCGATTACAGCTTATTAACTGAAAGTATAATTGAGAATCCTTTTATCTGGTTGGAGCTAAGATAGCTGTTGAATTTGAGCCTTCATGATCGTTAATTAAATTAAATATCATTATGATTATTCTTTCAATTCTACTAACTCATTACAGAATGTCTTTGTTAATAAAAATATTTTTCAATTCATTCATGAGGCTGAATTAGTCAACAAAAGCATTAACATTTCTAAGAGATATATGAATAAATTAAAATTGAATTCAATAAAAATCCAATTTTATTCCTTTCTAAATATTGATAACTTATGATTAATATTCAAACGGATTTCATAAAATCTCTCTAATTAATTGCAATTAGAGATTCTAATAGTAAAATGAGAAAATAATTAAGGAAATACCATCAAGAATAATATGGTTTGTGTACTTAAGATAAATTGATAATCATATCAATCTTAATAAATAATTATATTATATATATTGCCAGACTTAGATACTTCTTAGATTAATTATATCTGTTTTTTTTTCCCAACAAGATTTGTATGTCAAATAAAAATTTTGGAATTGGGTTGAATGACAAAGATTTCAACAATCAAACTTCATTTGAGATGCTTAATTTCTGGAATTAAGAAAACATCATTTAAAAAATAAATTAAGAATTGTTTTATTTAACACTTGCGTAGACGGTTTTCAATTGTCTTCTATTTCCCAAATGAAATCGTTGTTTATTATGATGAAATACAAGCTATACTATAATAAAGTAAATGACTTTTAATTCAAACATAAGTTGGATTTATTATATTAGAAATGCATATTTGTTCTCTAAGCCTATCTTAATTACTATTTGAAAAAGGTTAAAAAAGATGCAGAATTCTTCTGACAAAATCTTTAAACAATGAATTTCCTATTATCCACTTTCAAATTTAAATTCTAAAATGAAGCTAAAAAGTTGGATGTTGGCTGAAATGAAATCTAGTTTACTAAGTAAAAATACTAAGCTCAATAATAATAAGGTTTAAACTCGAGATGAATAAAAATTCAATCCCAAACTAGGCAATTGTGATTAATTATACATATTATATAAGATTAAGTATTTAGTTTTAATATTTGAAGTAATATTCAGAATTATTGAATTAAGTTATTTAAAGAATTTTTGAATAACAAAAATGGATATAATATAATTTTTTTCAAAGTGGCTAAATTTATGTTTTTTTTATATGCAATTTATTTCTCAACTTTTTACTTTATTTATGCAAAGTTAAAAGTTTAGAAAATTTTGCATTTTACTCCTTTTTGGTTATCACTTCTTTTTTTATTTCTTTTACATCAAAACTATCAGCTTTCAATTTATATTTATGGATAAAAGAATAAGGATACATCAAATACCTCACAAAAGACTAGAATATTTTTGGTAGATCTAATTGTTATAATTTCACTTTATAAAATTCATTCTAAACAGTTAATATTTGATCCACATTATTATGGACACAATAAAATTTAAATTGTCTAACAGTTTCAAACTTCTCTTTGGTATCTTCTAATCCTTTTTGGAGTGATAACAAAACTTGCAATTTCATCCTCAAAAATTCCATCTCCTAATAATCCTTATCAACGCATTCAATATTATGGTTTTAAATGTATTTTAATCGTCTTATAATACCACTCAATAAGGATATTTATTCTAAATCTCTGTAGTTCTCACTATTTAAAGAAGCTAAAATATTCTTTGTTTGGGCTTTACAGCTCTTCTTATTTACAATTTTGTTTAAACTTTTGACAACCTCAACTACTCTTTTGAACTTTTTAATCCCTTTAAAAGGTTGTAGAGTGAAATCATCAACCAGTAGAGATAGTGATTTTTTTGATATCATGTTTTATATAATACTCCTTCTTGATTATTAAGGTTATTAGAAAGGTAATTACTTAGGAGATGACTCTAATTGAAATTCTTGCTTTATAGAATCTGCCAATGTATAATTTATTGATCTTATAAATTAAGGAGTATGCAACTTTGGCTTATCTTTTTCAGAATCATCATCAATCTCCTCATAAAATAAACATTATTTATAATTATCAGCTTAAAACAATTTTGCTGTTTCTTAAATCAGATCTAAATCATGATTCACTGAAAAATATCCATGCTATCTTTTTTGATTTCTCCGAAATTTCAATTTCATTGATTCATTCCTTTTTTAAAACCTAGAAAATTAATGCTTTTTTATAATAAACTCTTTGTCAGGAATAAAATGAACTAAAGGACAATCAATTACTTTATGAGCAATGCTATTACAGGAGAAACAAGCTAATTTAAGAAACTGAGAATCTTCATTTAAAATTAAATCATCATGCATTTCTCTAAAGATCTCATAATCTTCAGGAAACTCAGGAATAATTTTCAAAAAGTCATCTCTTGATAATAATAATAGTTTTGAAAATCCTAAACTCTTAAATCTTTCTCTTGCTTTAACTCCAGTTATGAATGACATTAATCCAAGACTGCTGCCTTTAGAAACAGTATTCACAATCGAAATTGAATTATATGAAACATGGTTTTATAACATCTCATTCTCAATAAAAATTTGAATTTCCCCTTCTTCAACGAAACATATACATTAATTCAGCTTCTATTCTGGAAAAAAATGATTGAAATCTATTATGTTTTCTGGTTATACAACAATCGATTTGATCTTTTTCACTAACTTTTTCTTTAATTATTCACTAAAATAATTCTTGAATAAAGGACAATTATTTAAAATCATAGAATTTGCTTCAAATTATAAGTTTTCTCTGAGGTTTTCCGATAATTAATTAATAATTTGCTTCTCTTCCTAAGTTTCTTCTTGTTAATTACAGGACCAATAGTAATTCAAATATTCTCGTATCTTAAATTATAATTAATAGCTAATCTTTTTATTTTGCATGTAAGTATTTATTGTTTACACCTTCTTTCTCTTCTCTTTTGTATAAAATGATATTTACTGGTTTCCGCATACA